GGTCAAAGATGTTTGCCATTTAGCTTGATGATACTGACACGGACAGGATTGACAGATTGATAGCTCTTTCTCGATTCTGTGATTCTCAGAACCCCATGATGGAGAGCACTGACTCCTACAAGCGGTCCTTTGACCTTACACACTCACTGTGGCACCCTGTACCTACATATATACACATTCACATACACACTCAATATAAAATTATTTTAAAAATCACCAAAGCAGAGGCCACATGTGCAATGCAAGGCTGTAATCCAAGCCCTTAGCAGGTTGAAGTAGGAGTCTGAGGCCAGCCCAGTCTACACATCAAGATTCTATCTCAAAAAACAATAAAAATTACACATACCTGGGTCCCACCCTAAATTCTGGTATGTGATTATGAGGTACACCCAATCTTCCACATGACATACTCTTTTTATTTCACCATCCTTCCAAGTGTGTACCCATGGAGAAAAGGGTGATTATTTAGTTTACTGACTCTGAGAAAGCTTCCCACCATGACTTAATGGATACACAATCCCGAGTCTTCATTTATCAGTGACTTTCCAACCAACACACGAAGACTAGTAAAGAAAAAATTATCAGGGCATGTTCTCTTAATTAAAAAGTTTAATGTCTAAATAAACGAACAGTCCCCATAAAGTGTTCCAGACTTAACCACATGAGGTGGAAAGGTCTTAGGGGTTGAACCTAGAGCCTCACACTTGCAAAGAATATGCTCTACTAGTGGGCTACATCTTCAATCCCAGCACTGCTTAAAAGCGATAGAAAAACTATGGTTTCCAGTGTCAAACTAATATTGAAGAGGTATGATATAAACCCTCGAAGAGCACCTGCAGTTCACTTGTGACGGCAAAGGAGAGACGGATGGGGAAAAGTTCATGATTGCAAAAATTATCTTCTCAACTGGCATTTTGTTTTCCCCATAATTGGAGCACAACTCCTATTTTAAAAGCTTATTAATTTTGAACTATGGTTAGTATTCTGAACTTATTTTATCTACCGATGTCAATTCCATATATACATTTATTGACATCGGTAGATAAATATATATAACCATACATCATACATATGATTTAAATAAGGACAACATATAAAATTGTTCTGTCTGAGACAAGGTCTTACTGTGTAGTCTTGGCTGGCCTGGAACTCATGTACATCAGGTACACATTTAACTCAGAAATCCACCTGCCTCTGCTTCCCAAGTGCTGGGAATAAAGGCATGCACCACCATGGCCAGTTATATTTTTATTTTAAAATTATGTTTATTTGAGAATGTGGGCTGATGTATGAGTGCAGTGCCTGAAGAATCCAGAAGAGGCATTGACTTCCCTAGAGCTGGAGTTACAGGCAGCTAAGAATTGCCTGACGTGGGTGCTGGGAACTCAGCTCTCCTGCAAGAGCACTACACATTTTCACATGGTGAGCCATGGCTCCAACCCCAAACCGGCATTCTAAAGCATCAAGACAGCTGGGATGGGGAGACAGCTCAGGGGTAAAGGTGCTTGTTGCCGAGCCTGAGAACTTCAGTTTGATTCCCAGGAGCCATAGGATGGAAAACAGAATCCTGCAGGGCGCGCGCGCGCGTGCGCGCGTACACACGCACACACTTCAAAATTGTAAAAAGGACAGAAAAAGGTGTTCTAAGCAAATGGGACCAGGAAATGAATAGGTGTCACCACTGTGGGGAAAAAATTCCATTAAAAAACAACTCAAACACTGTTAGGACTGATTCTAAAACACAGATAGTTACCAGGAAGAAGTAAAGAGAATCATATCCGTGTGGCCCAGGAGTTAGATTTGTTTTCCTGTATTTTCACTGGGAAAATAGAACATAAGCACATAAGGGACATCTGCAAGGATGTGACTCATCAAAAAGTAAAAACTGAATGGGTATGGATGGGATGTACACACAAAAATACAGGAACAAAGGTTGGATATGGTATCATGCTCCTCTACCTTTAATCCTGAAAGGAAAACAGAGGTAGGCAGATCTCTGTGAGTTCTAGGATAGCCAGGGCTACAGTGAAACCCTCTCTCAAAAAACAAACAAACAAAAAAAGAAAGTATACACAGGAATATATGTGTGCCCAAGAGAGTAGATGTATAGAATATGTAAGGGCTATCACACATTAAAAAAAAAAAAAACACTGGGCCGGGCGTGGTGGCGCACGCCTTTAATCCCAGCACTCGGGAGGCAGAGCCAGGCGGATCTCTGTGAGTTCGAGGCCAGCCTGGGCTACCAAGTGAGCTCCAGGAAAGGCGCAAAGCTACACAGAGAAACCCTGTCTCGAAAAACCAAAAAAAAAAAAAAAAAAAACCACTGTATATTTAAGGTATGTATACATTTGTACCTTAAAACATTTGGGGGGAAAAAATCAATCTTCAAATGGCATCACTAAATGCTTCTAAGATATAATTTGGGTTTATGGAGGGGTGTGAGTTTTGATAAATTTTGGCTGTAATATTTAACTTTAATAATGAAAACAGATTCGTACTGTGTCTGGAATAAACACATCAAAAAAAAAAAAAAGAAAGAAAGAAAGAAAGGAAGAAAGAAAAAAAGAGTAATGGCCCAACACTCTAAGGAATGAAACATCAAACTACACCTACCTTCATGGTGGCAGGTGCTAACACAGCAGCTTAAAGGACACTCATCCTTCCCCACTGGAAACAGACAGCAGCATTTACAGCAGATACTGCTGGGTCTAATTCACCAGCTCCTAACAGCCATTCAGATGCTCCAATGACCCCAAGAACGTTCTCGCTGGCTCTCCCTTCTGTGGTATACTACTGGAGGACATGAAAAGCGCTTACCTCTATCTTGGAAAACTGGGCCGCGGGTAGAGGTAAACCTACAGGATCAGTGTACTATACTGCCTTGCTCAGGGGAAAACAATTGCTTTTCCAAAATATCAGGAAAAAGTGATCATACATTTAAATACGTAGCTTTATGACATAACCTTTCCTAATAATGTTGTTGCCTTTCAGAACGGTCACCACCCCTTAAAATATAGACCAGAAATCCCATGTGCCCTCCATATGTGTCATCTCTTTTGCTTCTAGTACTTTCCATATTATTTTGAAAAACAAAACAAAACAAAAACAAAAAAACAACTTCACATAAAAATCTGCTAGGCAGTGGTGGTGCACAACTTTAATCCCAGCACTCAGGAGGCAGAGGCAGGCTGATCTGCGAGTTCAAAGCCAGCCTGGTCTACAGTGAGTTCCAGGAAAGCCAGGGCTACATAGAGAAACCCTGTCTTGAAAAACCACACACACACACTTCCAGTTATCTGTATCTGGCAATGCTGGTACAACATGCCCTCTTTGCTCCCAGTAGGCTGAGAGTCGACTGCCATGTGTCACTCTACCTCAGGTGAGGCTTTTCCTCACAGTAGAGCTAAGAGACAATACTTGTATTTATGTCTTCCCCAAGTGAGAAAATCAAGGCAGTCTCTACTGTTTCAAGGGGGAAAAATGAGACATTTTCCCATGGGAATATTTCCCCGTATGGCTAATTGAAACCATGTTTTTGTTGAAAGAATAGACTAAACATGTTATCCTGCTGTGCTGGCCAAGTCTCATTGGTCTGAAGACATTTGAATTTACAATGTCTGCTTTATATAATATAAATAGGTATGCCATCAACGGCAAGACACAGAGGCAGTGAAAAGACAAACACAAAATTTGGTTTTGTAAATTGCACATATATTGATCGACATTAACTAACTTCATATTTAAATTTTCCAGATACCAATGCTGAGCACACCAGTAAAGGACAGATACTAGATACGAGGCTGATGGAAGGACAGAGTAAACAGTTCTTACCTTTAAGATCTTGCTCTTAGGATGTGAAAGACAAGACAGACAGGTTCCTAGTTACCCAACTACAAAGGCAAATCAAGAAAGACAGTAGGACACAACCATGAGAGCTGGAAGGAGGGCCTAGATGAGGATGAGCTCATCATGTGAACTGGGCCTTCAGATAATTATACTTCATAAAGAGAAAAAAGGAGAGGGAACACAGGAAAACCAGAGGGTCTCTGTAGAAGTGCTTGGAGGAGGCTCCCACCAGGTTCCTAACAGATGGCTATGCTAAGTGGATGAGCTTGTCCTTACTAAGGTGCTTGGTTGGGAATTGCCAAGTGAATGAGCTAAGATGCTGAAGACTGGATAAAGAAATAGGCAACTTACACACAAAATTACAAAGAATTATTCCCATATGCTAGCTTCATAAACGACTTTCCCTACTGTGAAAGAAAACTCTATTGTTTTTACAACATAATCAAGTTTAAGACTTATTTTTTTGATAAATACATATATTTATTTTTTTACATTCTGGAGGCTAGAAGTCTGAGTTGAGGAGACCCAAATCACCACATTTTGGGGAAGGCAGTTACACTGGTTATCCAGTGGCTGCATCCTCATTATCCTCCTCGTGACATTTTCTCAGTTCATGCATGTAGGAACCCAAATCAGGACACCAATCTCATCTGATTAAAACTCTATCATTATGCACCCATATAATATTAATTACCTTCTCAAACTTCTGCTAATGAGTATGACTTAATTTTTAATTGTTTATGGGAGATCCTAGCTGTACAGCTTCCCTACAATTATGAGAATTCAGGAATATGTTTTAAGTGTATGGTATTGTTTCTGAAAGAAACTTAAAGAAAACCAAAGTGCTGGATTATAGACTAGAAAACCCAACTCCAGTCCTCCAATCACTGTAGGAAGTTAAGCTCAAGTCCCTTTGTTTTGCTCATCTACTTAAAAAAAAGGGGGGTGGGGAGTGGGGTGGGGAGTGGGGTGGGGTGGAGGATGCATGTGACTGGAACGAACCCAGAGGTAACTCTCATCTATTAAATGACCAGTGTTTCAAAGCAGCAGCCCTTGAATCAGATGAGGCAGGCAGGCTCTGTGAGCTAAGGCACCTAGAATCCACCTTCCAAAATAAAGTTCCTGTTGCTGCAATACTAAAATTCTCATGTTAAAAAAAAAAAAAAAACCCAAAAATCAAATAAATGGTGGCTGAGGACTCACACTCCCCCGCACCCCCAAAGAACACTGTAGAAGAGGGGTGGGAAAAGTACGAGTTGGAGGATGTGTCAGGATGCTGTGAAATGCTGTCTTTTGAACATGTCATTGCCAGTGTACTCTTGAACTAGGTAGCTATGGTTACGTGTGCAACATCATCCAACGCTGCAGCAAGCAGCATGAACCGGAACGAGTGGATTAAAACAACAACAGAGGAGAGGACATGAAGGTGGGGTGTAGAGACAGGGGTGGGGTGGGGGGGGTGATTTGTATCCATGCAGGAATTATCAAAGAATAAAGGGTGTCTAGACAGCGAAGGCTGGGCCTTTGGGCTCCCGTCCTCCTGACTCCATCTCCAAAGTGCTGAGGTTCCTGGCATGATTCACATCCCTCCACAGCCACAACTTTCCCTGGTTGGAAAGTGCTGTCCCCTTCTGTCCAGACCTACCATGACATCCAGTGTGCTACAATCAGTCATCTCTGCCTCAGGTGTCACCTGTCAATTGTACCTGAGTTTGTCATTTCTGCATGCACACAAGCATCCCGTTACTCACTCTACAGACTGAGTTAAACGCTGTGAAAGAAATAAACATGAGAGAACACAGAACCTATTTTATGGAATAAGGTGTTGCCCAACTATAGCACGGCAAATACAAAACACTTAAAAATCTTTAATTTGTGGTAATCTTGCAACAATTCTGGCAAGCACATAAGGGCCCCAAAGTACTCTGCTGACTCTCATGACTCTTGATGAAGGTGAGAGGCATTTCTGATCCCTCTGAGAGGTTCCTTGTCTTTCTCAGGGAGCCATGAAGGTCCTAAGAAAAGGGAAAGAGGAAGGGAGGGAAGGAGGGAGAGAAGGAAGAAGAGAGGAAGGGAGGGAGAAAGGGACGGGGAAAATATTGCACAAACATCATTCCTAGTCAGGAAGTAAAAATCTCACCAAAATAAGAGACCTGAGGTGGGACTTTAAATGACAATGGAAGGGACTGTTTCTATCCCTCAATATTAAGATTTTTTTATTACTATCTATGATTTACTATAAAAAACAAGAGCATGGATATTGGCAGGAAATTCAAATTTCTGAAGTGGAAGCCTCAAAGTTAAGCTTTACCTACATCATAAAACCATTAAGTTTCCAAGTTCCCTGTGGAATCCCAAATGCAAAGTACTGCTGGCATGCAGAGGGCCATCCATCACTGCATCAGGGCACCAGGATGCTCCTGACTTTTGGTCAGACGTGAAAGCACTGCACCACAAACTGAGATCAGGTCCACTCCTGGAGTACAGGTGCATATAAACATTCAGGCCCCCAGGCCAGTGGCCTACGGACTCAATTCTCAAATCATGTGTGGATCAGGAGTCTCTGGCCATTCGGATCCTCCATGGAATACCCCAATTTGTTGCTTGATCACAATTCAATCATGAAGGATCTTCTAGGAAACAAAGTCTGCCGTTGTCACCTCATTATAGTCATGCTCTCTTGATAGCAGTCCACTACTGTTCTTGCATGAGTGTCATTGTTGAGGACATCTGTGCGAAGGATGCCATCGACACTGTTCCTTCATTGCTAGAAATTAGGTAGGTGCAGGAAGGCAGAGGGATTGAATATATAGGAAATTCACAATTTATAACTGCAAAAGACATCAGGAGTACCCAATAACAGAGGCCTGGTAAGTAAAGTTTTATAATGATGTAGACTATATGATACAGCCACAAGAGAGAATGGGATCTAGTGCTGGTCAGCAATAAAGAGGAACAAATAACTGATACATATGATAATTTGAATGAGTCTCAAAGGAACCATGCCAAAGGACAAAAGCTAAACACCAGCCCCAAAGGACTATATAATGTATTTCACACATATAACATCCTTTCTGTGACAATATTATACAAATGGAAAAAAGAATGATGGTTGCTTAGAATCAGAAATGCAGAGGGGCTCTAAGGGTAACTATTCAAACCTACAAGTGATGACACCATGTAACAGCTGTACCATATGCTTAATGCCATGAAAAGAATAGAAATATAGTTAAACCATTTCTTAAAGCTCTCAGAAAACACCCTTTATAATAAAATGTTACCTTTGGAAAACCAAAGAGATAACAGAAATATTTATGTATGATTTGAATGACCACTAAGGCATACTGTTACAGGAATATGAAGTAGTACACAAAGACCATTAACAAAGTTAATACTTAGAGCCAAACCACAAAATTTTCTTTTTTTAAAAAAGTTTTATTTATTTTTATTTTATGTGCATTGGTGTTTTGCCTGCATATATGTTTGTGTGAGGGTGTCAGATCTTGGAGTTACAGATAGTCTTGAGCTGCCATGTGGGTGCTGGGAATTGAACCCGGTCCTCTGGAAAAGCACTCAGTGCTCTTAACCACTGAGCCATCTCTCTAGCCCACAAATTTTTCTTAAAAAGTACAAAACTGACTTTTAATGACAATAGAAGGCATTATTAGAGGTGGAGGAATGGGAATCTGAGGGGGGATAGATGGCAGTGACTTTAATATAGACATTCTTGACCTTTTCCAATTTTATACCATGGGAATGTAACAACATATTCACGAAACACCATGACTTTGTTTGATTATGTAATGTTTTGTTCATGCCTGTAGTCTGGCAATTCCATTCTGGCATGACTCCTGCCCTTGTAGGGATCTAATCAGCTTGTTTGAGCTTCACAAGTCTCCATGCTGGTCCTAAAGACAGGGGCCACCAGCTTCCTGAAAATGCTTTGAAATGAGCACTCTTCCAGCTCCCGACACCCTGGGCTATTTCATATGGCTCAGTTTGATCTATAGCAGCTGACTACACAAGGTGGCAGCACTATCTTCAGGAGAGCTGGAAACAATGTATTTCCAAAGCATGTGAGAACAGGTTAAGGAATTCACTACTGATTTTTAACTTTTAGCATGTGGCTGGTACTATGAGAGCAGCAGCAGTGGGTACGATCCTCATTTAACCTTCAGAACAACTCTGAGGTGTGCTTTTACTACGAGCCATAGTATGTCAAAAGGTGTTGACTATTTGAACATCTACAGAGGAGGAAGCTGGTGTTCGCACAGGCTCTGAGAGAGGAACTGGAGTTCACATCACAATCTATCAATACAAAGACAAGGAATCATTCTCCTTTTCTGGCCTGCCAAAATACTTCAATTAAAATTCTAAAATCCACCTGCAACAGCTATGAGGTCTGTGTGTATCCGAGACCTCGTTGTTTTTACAGTCCTTGGCAGTTAAGCCAGGCTCTAGATGCCCACGAACAAGTATCTGCAATTGGCAGTTATCGGGATAAAACACTTAACACAAACACTAAGGTCCTCAAAACCAAGTGGAAAATTAGCTAATCCAATTAGAAATTCATAGTTTCAAGACTCTGGATGGGATGGTGACTTGCTCTTCCTGCCACAAGAGAAATAAATCCAACCAGAAAATGTAAGAACCTTTTCTGGATTATTCACTAATACCTGAACCAAATGCAAACTGTTAGAAAACTCTGTGGGTCAAAAGTATACTTTACAGGCTGAGAATCACCTTGATTGGTTGAACACTTGTCCATCACACGAGGCTCTAGGACTTATCCCCAGCATTGAAAGGTAAGGAAGAGAAGTAAAGACACCAGCTTCTGTGTACTGCTGGTATCTTATGGTTACAGAAAGAAGCCACAAGAATATTTGAAATATTCCAATTTAATCTTAAATAAATGACTCTCAAATGGGACATTTTCTACACCTCATCTACCAAGTTCCTCGTACAGGGAGTTTACAAGTAGACCTGAATCCCTGAAATGAAAAATGTTACATATGGCTTAAAATATCTGAAACATTTTCTAACATCAGACTATTTTGTATCAAGATACAAGAAACCACAATGCATTAAAATAAAACTAATATGATTTAAATAAAAATGCAAAAACATACCCAATTGCTTTCTGAAATACGAAAGACAGCATTAGTAAAGTTGAAAAATACTAGCAAATGCTAGGATGCTAGGTTTGGTATATAACTTGACTTGCCTTATTAAAGAATGTCTACCTAACCCAAATTTCCCTAAGACAGCACTGGTAGATTTTCTCCTTGGTTGTTTCTGTGATAATAAAGGCTCAAGGATTTCTTAACAGTTTCTCACTGGTCTAGCAGAAGCAAATATTAATCGGTATCTCTCTTACTGATTTCTGGCTCCTTATCTTTCAATGACTCTCTTTACATGGAGGTTATGTGTTATAACCGATTCCTAAACCAGGCATGTTCATGACTATGGCTGCAACTATCTGAAAACCAGCACAGGCCATGGCTGATGCTGTGACTCTCCCTCCAGCTAGCTCCTGCTATGACAAGACAGGACGCCCTGCTCCGCAAGGCCCGTGATTCAGGAGTAACCACTGTTCATCTCATGGGTGTTCAAATGCTGGAAAGGTTAAGAGTCACTGAAGAACAAAGAGGCCCGCCTTCCTTTCTAAGCAGGGGACATACTCCACAAGTCTTGCTTTGGTGAGAAAAGCCAGGGTGGGGGTGGGGGGGGTCTAAGACGTAGCAAATAAGTCTGTACAAACAATTCGATTTGATTCTCTTGCCCTCATATCTTTTTCCAATATAATAAATGTGGCTGATATGCATTAGCAGGTAGAAATGTGTTACAGGCCCTAGCCACCAAAATAGCTCATTAAATACTACAAACAATGGAAATCATTTAATGAAGCAAATTATACATTCAATATTAACTTGTTAATGAACCTAGTCTTTTAGGCTTAAACATTCAGAATTTCAAGGAAGATATTAAAAGTACAGGAAGTTGTTGTGTTATTAAACCCAAAGTGATACTCCTAAACTGTTGGGAAATATTCGCTATAGGCACAGTATTAAATGTAGGTCGAAAAACTAGGAGATTTTCACCCAGGACACAAAGCTGAGGTCTTCAGTGAACATGTTCACAAGCTGCTGAACTGGCTTACAAACTAGACGTGGTTTTTGAGGAAGAAAGTTCATCCCCATCTTTTTTCATGATAGAAAATGACTTTTGATTTTCAGACTGAAAGAAGGAAAGAGAGCCCCCTTTCTATATTCAAAGAAGAATGCTATCTGGGTTTTAACTCTGCTTTTGACTCTGGTTGGGATTATCCACAAGAGATGAAATTCTATGCAGAAGACCAAGCTTTTCAATAATGAGCAATCTGGCAAGAACCTGCAAAGAGAGCTGGGAGGCTCAAGGGCTGCTTGCCAGAGGGCTGTGCATGTCCATGCTGCTCCTTCCCCTCCGTCCTGACTTCAAAAGCCACAATTCAAGCTCAAAGTAAGGCAACAGCTTGAGGTCTGTGGCGTAACAGTTCTGTTCACCTGTACTCAAAACCAGCTAAGGAAAAAGAAAACAAAACAAACAAACACAAAAAAAACAAAAATAAAATAGTACAAAGAGAAAGGAAGAATAGAGAGATACCTTACTTCCCCTTTCCTTCCCCTAAAAAGGTCAGAGAAGAGACAGACATGCCCTGGAGAACTGATGGATATTTAGATTTGACCTCTGTTAGCCTTTAAGACATGAAGAAAAACAATTCAACTATAAAGCAAAGTTGAATATTCTCATTATTGCTGAACCTTGAGTTTTACAATGTGCCACCAAACAGCTGTGCTAATTATTCAATAGGAAAGAGGTTTGGGAGTGTTCAGCAAACAGGTAATCAGGACACACTTAATTTAAATAGCAATAAATTTAAGAAATAAGAGAAAGGGCCCATGCTGTACAGCCCATGAATCTCATTGGCTTTATCGTGAAAGTTTATTGTTTTTAATCCTAGTACAATCAGCTACCAGTTACATACAGTAAAAAAAAAAAACAAAAACAAAAACAGCCACAAAGCAATGATGATAGTCTGTGACAGTGTACAGTGGAGGAAATATTCTGTTGGAATCCTCCAGTGGATCCCCACCTGACTTCAGCAGTTAAGCTAACCCTCCCTCTCCAAATTATTTTAAAAGAAAAATTAATGTCTTGCTTGGGTACAGCAAGATTCTAAAATTTCTTGGGGATGCCGGAGAACTTTTAAAAATGAAACTGGTAGAAACAAAACAAAATTGAAACGTGGAAACAAGAAGTTTCACGAGGCCTTGGCTTCAGGTCACCTCAAAGCGAACCACCTGGAAAGAAGAGAGACTGAGGTCACTCCAGGAATGGAAACACAGAAGACTCAGCAGACTTCAGTATCTATTCTAGTACGACTCCATCCTCCTCAAGAACACAGAATCCAGAGTCGCTTACAAGGCTTACAAAAACCTGCTTTCTTTTCTAATATTCTTTATTGCAAATGTTAGTAATAGTACATACTTACTTGTTCAGAACTAGGAAAATGATTTTTAGTAAAGCATGCTGTCCTCAATATTTTTGAAGCAACTACACAATAGGCTGTTTACACAGCTGGGCACCTTACCTTAGAGGAACAGGCTCCACTCAAACACTAAGTCTCATATATATTTGGTTCGATTGAGGGCTTTCTCAGCCAGGTGGCCGCTTTCATCTGTGATCTTCTCCCAGTCAGTCTGTCCGACCACAAAACCTATGGCCCTTTTCCTATCTGCATCCTTCTTTTCTTCTAGGTCTGCCCATCTCACCTAAAGAGAAAAAAGCATTAGTCTGGATTGTCTGAAAGGAGGGAGGGAACCCCAAAGGTGCCCTCTTTGAATAATTTAGTGGGTAGATTAACAGACTTAAAATTACAAGTAAAAAAACTACCAGAGTGATCATCTCAAAATACCTTCGTGTGATGCTCATCTGTTTCAAATTTCCCCTGACTATAAGACAAAGCCCTATCACTAAGGCCTCTTGCTGGGTCCCGCCAGCTCCATGGCATTTTGACACGAGCAATACGCTTTCTTCTAGTTCTCACTTTACAGCTCTGAGCCCTGTCTACCTAGCATCAGTCTAGACATCCTTCCCCACTTTATCCACTGCAATTAACCATTACTTCCCTAGGTTTGTCTGGAGTTTAACATACCTATTTTTGAATTTCCATATTGCAGGATGGCTATCCATTTATAGAAACATATACTATATATGAACTTTAAACAACTTAATCTCTGTACAATAACTATTTCTTGAAATTTAATCAGAGAAAAAACCAGTGGGCTGGTAATGCCATTTTCATTCATAAACTACCGGAGATCATTGCTTCAAATGTTATTATGGCATGATTTCAACTGCAGATATATGGGTTCAAGAATATTCCCTATTGGTACTTTAAAAAAAAAAAAAGGTGGATTTATAAGTTGTTAAAATACATGCATATGTCTCATATTCTGTAAGAGCAAAAATATTTAAGATTATGATACTGTTAGTTGTATTGCACACATAGTACCAAAGCATATACTACATTTTAATATGCTCTATTTTAAATATAGTTTGTGATTTATTATGTCCCAAATACAGAGCACTGGAACTCTGTGCTCTTTACACTGGACCTGGAAATGCATTATTACTTTGAGGTACACTGACTTTCCTTTCTGACATTGCAAGACTGACTGAAATGACTAGGCTTCCAACATCTGCTCAGAGGGAAAATAGAGTAATAGCAGGGAAGCGGGTTAACACTTGAGCCTTTTTTAAAAATGATTTATGTATTTTTATTTTATGTGCATTGGTGTTTTGCCTGCATGTATGCCTGTGTAAGGGTATTGGATCCCCTGGAGCTGGAGTTAAATGGACAGTTGTGAGCTGCCATGTGAGTGCCGGGAATTGAATACAGGTCCTCTAGAAGAGCAGTCAGTGCTCTTAACTGTTGAACCATCTCTCCTGGCCCTAACATTTGACACATTTTTATTTCCTTTTTGTTGTGCATGTATACACAAGTGTGGTACGTGTGCATACATGTGCACTGGTATGCACATACCTGTGAGTGTGGAGGCTAGCAGGTGATCTCTGGTGCTTCCTCTATTGCTCTCCACCTTATATATTGAGGCAGAATCTCAGACTTGTACCGAGAGATCTACGAGTCCGTCAGCAGTTAGCCAGCTTGCTCTGAGATTCCTGGTCCTCACAGCTGGGAGCACAGGCAGGCCGCCACACCACCTGACCTCTGGTCCTCACACTTGTGTGGCAAGCATTTGACTCACCAAGCCATCTCCCTAGTCCCACACTGGATTCTGAACTAGTTTATTCTTGAGCCAAATATGAGTGACCTGGGAATACACATTATGGTTGCACCAAATAACATGCTCCAACGTGGAAGCAGTTTCATCAGGTTTTAATAGGCATAGAACAAAAGTAAACAATAAATTTCTCAGATATACTGGTGGGAATTAACTGTAGAATATTTAACAAATATGGCTTTCTCCTCCTCCCTGGGAACTTCAAACACCCATCAAGATATTTCTCTTCTTTTTTGGTAGTATTGGAGATTGAACCCAGGGCCCACTACATGTTAGGTAAGTCTCTTATTATTGAGACTTATGTCCAAAAAATATGTACTATGAGTAACTCATACATACTCTTAGTTTCATTTAGGATCAAGGGCACACATTTTTATTGTGTGTTATTAGTGTTAAGGATAGATAGGCAGACATTCAGTAACCACTGAACAAAGAAAAAGTTAACTCAGCTCACAGTAAATTTAAACACCCAAAGCATCCTCAATAGTTAATTAAGTACAGAGTAACTGTACCCAGCTACTTAAAAAAACATTCTTCTAAAGATTTATTTGTTATATTTATTTATTTTCTATGCTGTGTATGAGTGTTTTGCCTATGCACCTCATGAGTGCAATATCCTTGGCCAGAAGAGGGCATCGGATTCCCTGGAACTGGAATTAAGACAGTTCTAAGTTACTATGTGGATGCTGAGAACCCAGCCTGGGTCCTCTTCAAGAGCAGCAAGCACTCTTAACTGCTGAGCCATCCCCTCAGCCCTACATTTTTGAAGCTGGATTTTAGACTCTGAAACTTTAAAACTTAGATAAAATGTAATTTTTATTTGTGTCTGCTTTGAGTTCCTGCCCTGACTTCCCTCAATGATGGAGTGTGACCTGAGAGTTGTAAGAGGAAAGGTGAAAGAACAGAACCAAGTCCACAAACTTGTTTTCTGATCTGGACACACACACACACACACACGTACACACAGAGTGGTATGTACATAACACACAGACATAATCAAATTTAAAAATGAAATACTGATTTAGCATCAATGACTGATTTTTTTTTTGTCTTTTGAGACAGCGTTTTTCTGTGTAGCTTTGCGCCTTTCCTGGATCTCACTCTGTAGACCAGGCTGACCTCGAATTCACAATGATCCGCCTGGCTCTGCCTCCCAAGTGCTGGGATTAAAGGCGTGCGCCACCACTGCCCCACCAATGACTGATTTTTTAAAAAAATCTTTTTATCACTGGGGGTGGTGAATTTCTGGGTTTGAGGCCATCTTGTTCTAGAGTGAGTTCCAGAACAGTCAGGGCTACACAGAGAAACCTTGTCTTGAAAAACCCAAACCCAAATCAAACCACCAAATGGAACAAACAAAAAAGACAGAAAACTTATCATTACTATTAGTGTGAAAGCATGAACGCATGCAGAGGCCCGCACAAGTCCCAGCATGTAAGTGAGGGCCAGAGGACAGCGTGTGCGTTCCGTCATCCCTCTTCCACGCTGGGTTCTGGGGATCAAGCCCAGGTCACCAGGCTTGCCTCACTGGACGGCTGTCTCGATGGCCAATGACTGTGCTTGTGTTGTCTCCCCACTTCAGTGTTCTGAGTCAGGGTTTCTCTGTGTCACTGCCCTGGCTGTCCTAGAACTCACTCTGTAGATCCTCCTGCCTCCGCCTCCCAAGGCGTGAGCCACCACTGCCTGGCTATGACCACAATTTTTTTTTTTTTTTTTTTTTTGGTTTTTTCGAGACAGGGTTTCTCTGTGTAGCTTTGCGCCTTTCCTGGAGCTCACTTGGTAGCCCAGGCTGG